TGTCCCGGCAACTCCGGGGGTTCTGGGCGGTCTCCTGCTGGCTTGGGCACCCACCCTCGGGCTGCGGGGAGGTCGAACCAAAGCTGCAGGGATGGATGCTCATGGCATGCGGCGGTACTCGAGAGACCGCGTGGAGATAACTCTGTGTAGTGGAGACCTGGAAGTTTGATAAACCTCGAATTATTCTTCCAACGAGCAGGACAGGCAGGGGTTTTGCCCTTCCACCGTTCCTACCACCCATCATTCACTCTTGGTGCACGGTTTGATGAAGTGTTTTTTTCCTCATCTTTAAGCTGAGCAGGCTCACAAGGTGGCTGCAAGTTACAAACCTTCGAAGTTTGACAAAAAAATCCTCCTCTGGACCAGACGTTTCAAGACCGAAGATGAGATTCCTCCAAGGATCCCGTAAGTGTGCCATTCTTGCCCAAGGCGAACATGGAGCTGAAGGGAAAGCGGTGGCGTGATCCTGATCTAAAGCTTCTCCCACAGAGTTTGAACTAGTCAGTTCTCCAACACTGAAAACTTGGAAACAAATTAGAGGGCAAAAGGATTTCCTGTCCTGGTTAGAGGTTAAGATGAAAAAATGTTCTTTACTGGAGTCCCCAGAGCCTGGGATTAAGAACTGCATCCATCTGAGTAGATAGCCTCAGTTACATTTGTGTACTGGGTTGTTTATTTTGCTGATTCCTAATGTGCAATCAGAGAAGGATGTTATTGGTCAACAATATTTTCTGTTTATAGGTCCCATAAACAGTTCTAAGGGAGCTGACTGTCACTGAATTATTAAATCCAACAAATTATGATTTATTATAGAATTTGAGGAAAAACAGAGAAGGAGGTTATGAGAGAAACATCCCCCACTGAGGAAAACTGAGTACTTGACATTGCCTTAGCCTCCCATTCCTGTTGACCCACTGGACCAGATGATCTTCAAAGCTCCTTTCCCACCCAAACCACACCAGTTCTGTGACTTGCTGAAAGTTAGCATCCCCCAAGGGATGTCACTGAACACACGAAACCCCTGCAATTGCTGAGTTTTTCTTAGGAAAAATAGCATGTTAGACATCTCTCTCTAGGATGCTACTTTTTATCATCACAATATCTCCCTGTCTTGGGTGGTATGTTGAGCATAAGCAGTGCAGAGCTCTGTCAAGCAACAGGCACAAGCTTTGCCTGTTCCTGTTGGTTCCGGACAGTTTCAATGATGTTTCCTGAGCTGGACGGTGGCTTTCCACTGTCCCACCTCTCTTGTGCCATGTTAGTCCCACCATTGTCCCCTAGAGAAAGTCTCAGAAGTTCTAAAAACTGTTCAGGTCATCAGGAGGTGTTTATAAAGACACGTTTGCCAGTCCGTACACATACACACACACAAATTGCTAATTTCTGTGCAGTAACTGGCCTGCCAAGTGCGTGTTACCACTTTGTGCTTTCAGGGTGAGCATAGTCTTTTTAGAATTGCAAGATCGTAAATAGTAATATACTGGAAGTTAACTGTGAGACATTGAAGCTGAACTGTGTCGCTGCTTTAACTATTAAAAAAAGAGACTTTCAAGTTACTGTTACCTGTGCACACCATCTAGCTGCTGAAGATAGTTTGTACTTAAGGGTCAAATTTGCAGTCCTTATTCAAGGTTGTTGGTTTGTTGTGGTTTGTGAGGTTTTTTTCATTTGTTTGTTTTTCTTAAACAGCTGTTATTGACTTCAGCAGAGGTTTACCCAGAGTCTTGATTGAGTAACAAAGGCCCTAATGTGCAATTAGCGAAGAACATAATCAGGTCTGTTTTCCTTAAAGCAGAGGCAGAAAGCAGGGAGAAAGTGAAAATCTGCTTCAGAAGAGTTCCAATTAGTGCATAGTGAAATATGATTAGGTTAATAAGCCAGACTAATAACATTTTTGCTTTTGTTGCTACAAATGGATTAGTGGATTAATGGTTTTATGTGCTAGCCTGATGTGCGGTTTGTTTTAAAGGTGATGTGTGTTTACCATTGTACCAAACAAAAGCAGTTACTTAGAACCGCAGGCGTCAGTCGTCCACAAGACACGTGGCATGCATGTGTGTGTGCATTGGCAGGGAAGGGGTAGTACAGCATGGCCACTTGGCAGACTTGCCCACTTGTGTTGCATTAAGCCTTCGAGAGAAGCACCACAGCCCTCAGCCTTGGTACACGCTGCCATGGGCAGAACTTCCACTACAAAACCCAAGCTCTGCCCCATCCCACCACTCATCCTCTTTAAAGTAAAAGGGTTTGGGGGGAAAGAGATCATTACAAGATCTTTATTCACAACATAAAATAAATTATTTCTGCACCTATGCTTTTTACATATATATGTATAAAACCACAACTCTATATTATGTATATTTATATTCTGTATCTTTGTATTTTTATACATATGAAGCATTCCAATGTGATTCATGAAAATAAGTGCACAGCCAGCATTACAATGAATACCTTCAAAACTGCACTCCCAAGTACAATATCTGACTCAGAAAATAACTTAGCTGAAAGTTTTGAGACAATTTGAGTGATATGGAGATTTCCTGTACTCCTCGTTCTTGGAGTGCACAACCTCCCGCTGCTTCTCAGAATGGAGGAGGGTATAAATGGGAGCTGTACCAGTGGAGCTTGCTGGGCTGTACACTGCCTCTCACAGCAACTACTGCCAAATGGAGGGCAGAAATTTCCATTACTTTTGCCTTTGATGACCAGCAAAAATAAACATGTAGATTGTTCTTGCTTAGGTGTGTGTTCCTGCAATAGCGAGAAGGCTGACATCAGCTACCCACTTTAAATAAAGCTTCTGCTTTTCTAAAGAACTAAAAACTCAGTTTTAATCACCTATACAAGTATGTAAAGTCCCTAGCCTACAGTATAGAGGATGCTGTCTGAACAGGTTAGACATGACAGTAATTAATTTCTAAATTTAATTTTGAACAAAATGAACTTGCTTTCACTACATTTGGTTGATACCACATATGCTTTTCCACCTCTTTAAAATAGATAAAACCCCTTAAAGTTCTAGAGCTTAAGGTACAATTTCTTGTATATTGTGCAAATATTTATTGCATAACCAAAATTTCTGTTCAGCTTAAAAAAATCCAACAAACCAGCTTAAATCCATTAAACATTGCTTTTCCACTGGAAAGGGATTAGGGTCAGAAAACACAAAGTTCTTGGGCAGTGTATAACCAGCCCTAGGGAAGTGGAGATGCTTGTTTTAGAAGCTAATTCTATAATTTTTCAGTGGTGATGCTATGTCTGTGATGGTTTGAGGAAGACACTTCACAGTTTTGTAATAATTCAGTAACTTTAATTGCAGGCCAGAGATGCTAGACAGGGCAAGAAACAAAGCTCGAGTTAAAGCTTGTTACATCATGATCGGACTCTCAGTTGTTGCCTGTTTTGCAGTGATCGCCTCAGCTAAAAAGGTGAGTACAGAGCTAGCTACTCAGTATGTCGCATATTTAAAAATGATGGAATTCTGTGAAAAGTAGGCAAACGTCAACAGCAGTGACTTACACCTACCCTAGTTTTAGCTAACCTATGACAAGTAAACAGTTGCTGGCTAGTCCTGAGACGGGGTAGCTTTCCCTGAGGTGCAGCGTTACTCCTACCATGCTACTCTAAAGATGTTTTACTTCTGCAGGCTGCCGCTCGTCATGAGTCCTTAACAAGCTGGAACCTGGCAAAGAAGGCCAAGTGGCGGGAAGAGGCCGCACTAGCAGCGGAGTCAAAGACAAAGTAACGTCATATGAAATGCCAAAAAGTTGTTGTAGGAGCAAAATTAACTATTGCTGAGAGTGATTAGTGAATGTCACCAATAAATGGATAACTGCAGTATTGCACAGACTGTAGCCAACAAGGGTAGTTACAGGAACACAAAAAGAAATGGAGGGTCTCTTAAGATACTTGATGTATTTGTTGCAAATTATTATCATTAGAATGTTTTGCACATGATTAAAAGCAGTAATTAATTTCAAAGGAGAGGAGGTAGTTTCTTAAGAATGTCAGGTATGGGGGGAGCCAAGTTTCCACTGTCTTAATAACTTTCTTTCAGGATTATCTTGAGCTGTTACACAGATAAGAACCCTTCAAAGAAAAATTAGCAGTATTTTTCCAATGAAAGCTTAAATGCAGGAAAGACTAAGCAGTAGTGAAGGTACGAAAACTGCAAAAATAAGGAGACTTATATAATTCACTTCTGCAATTCTAAAGAACAAACTGTAATCAGCCAGAATAGTACAAATCTTACACATCAAGAAGGTTTGGAGAAGTGAGGGGAGGGGAAGTGGCCTTGTAATTCCACAAATTCTCATGTCCTTATAATCTTAATGGGAATTCCCAAAGAAGTGGTCAGTTCTGCAGGCAGAGAAAGGACTGTGATCATTGTACAAGTTTGTTTGGTTAGATATTTACAAAACATGTTTAAAACTAAAAAGTTTCTAAACAGTGCCTAGTTTTACAGTGCACAAATCAGCCAGTTGGAATTCATTTGCCTCAGAGTCGTATTCAAAATGGCATTTGTGTTTCCTAGTTTAAGCAGCCACACTTACTGAAACACTAAATAAATACAATAAACATCTGTAAAATAGGTTTTATTGGTTTCTGTATGGTATTCGGAGATTTAACATTCCATAATATTGCATACTACTTATATGTGTTCTGTTACAGTAATGGGCCTTTGGCCTGGATTTAAAGATGCACTATTACTATCTGAAGTTAGTATAGGTATTTTAGTTTCCACACATTGTATGAAGATACTGTGCCATGAGTAACTGAAATTTCTCATTCCAGATTTCAGTGAACCCTTGAAGTCACGGTTAAATTTCACTTATCAGTTGTCAGACCTATTATAAAAACCCTCAGTTGTACAATTTAATAAATTTAAACCAACTGAGAACTAACCGTGGAGGAAAGACAATAGTGCATCTTTTCTATTTTTTTTTTTAAGACAGACCCGACAATAAATATTTTCCAGTTGCAAACTTGTTCTACAGCTAACTTATTTCTGTGCCAACATTATTACTATTTTCTGATTGCTGCTAGCAACAGTGTTTAAAGCAAATACTAGAAAATTAAACTGCTGTATGAACCAATCCTCAGACAAAAGTGCAACAATGAAAAAATTAGGTATGATTCAGTGTATCAAGAGCAGGGAACTAAAAAAAATAATCTTATGCTTTGCATAGTTGCATAGATTAGCTAGTTAGTATTCACATTTAAGCAGAACAAATGGTACCCTTTTAATTAAAACCAAAACCCAGTATTTTTAAACAGACTTTGTAACTGATGGGGCACTTCAGATTCCATATAAAATGCCAAACTTAAGAGATTTTCTTTTCTCAGGGTTTTTTTTTTTTTTTTTTTCCCCTCCACACTGGTTTCATCTGTTCAGGCAACATCATCATATTCACACCCCTACCTACAAATGATTGTACCACAGCTGACCTTAAGTCATCACCTCTGGTTTTATATTGTTCATTTATGTGCTTTTAACAAAGTGTGATGTAAACCCAGTGATAAAATAGGAGAGGCCATCTTGTATGTCTATACTTTACAGAAGAATTTTCATTATTATTTTTTAACAATTTTAGGGTAAACCAGTTGTTGAGTTTAAATAATTCTTTTCATTAGCGAAAGTCCATCAATTTTAGTTCCCTTTTAAAGTGTTACATTTAAACGTATCAGAGGCATGAAAGATAGTTTATCTCAATGTGTAAAGTGCAGTCACTAACCATTCACACGTATAGAATAATATATCCACAAAACTGAAGATATTCTTTTAAACCAAATATAGTATTTTAAATGTCCCCTCTTTTCTTAATTTTCAAGTCTTTTAATCAAGTTTTTTATAGTTGAGATTTGGTTGCAATTAGAGAGGCTTATAAATGCAGTTTTTACAGGGTTCTCCAAATAAAAAGCAGGCACAGCTGGTTAAGTAATATTATCAAAACAAGATTGTTAGGAACAATGGAATACCCTGTTACCTGAATAATTTTCAAATCAAAATTCAGCATTTACTAGTAATCCTGGTAGGCTTCCATGATTGTTACCCTGTATTTTGAGCAGATGGGGAAGGGGAAGGAAGAAAGGTCAGTATATGAAAATGAAAAACTGTGAGAATAAAAAGGGCACAAATACAATCATCTAACATTATATGAAAATTTGGCAGCTGTACTCAGTATTATCACACTATTCAAAACTTGTATGCTGTACAAATCTAGGTTTAAAGTGTCATTTGCTAAAATATCTCATTATTCAGAGTTCATTAAGTAACAACAGCACTCTTAATATACTTCTTACATTTCTATCTTCCACTAAAAAGACTTCAAAGAGAGGTTTCTTCCCTCCCTGTTACATCTTAGTCAAAAGTGACCAATAAGCTTAGAAAATCCACTTCAAGTCCCACATTCAATTACAATATCGTCTATATTGCTGTAACATCGAAGTGAAACATCTTAGAATCTTAACTTGCATGTAAAAAAATTCTAAATATAAAATGGTACTGTAGATGATACCACCTTTAACCTGTATTTTTCAGTGCATTAAAATATTGTTTGGTGACAAGCACAGTGCCATGGGTTAAGTAATTAGAAGTTTAAATTGCAGCTTTTTATGAAGCATGAAATGCTCTCATATGTCAAAGATTTTACTTAACCCAGGAGTTTGATGTTAATATACTTTTTACAGGTAAAAAAAATAATCATACTTTAGAATCAACCCAAAGTATTAATTTCTCCAAATGAGATATGCCAGAAACATTACTTATATGCAAGTCCAAGCAGAGCATACATTTTTCTGTATGCAAAACTGTTAATGTAAATATTAGAATTCTATTTCTTTTAGTGTTTAACAGCAAACACCATATATTGTAGAACCTAAATATCTATATGACAGTAACTTCTCGTTAGTTTTGGTGCCCACATACTTAATGCTATTTACAATACAACCAACTTTTCCTTCAACTGGAAAGGAGTGATTTTCTATTATTCTTCACTGCAGTATTCTATTGTCTTACCAAAAGAAAATGGAGTTAATTAACTTAAAGAACAATTCAAGTGGTGGTAGCATATTTGGTGGAAAAAAAAACCAAAAAACACAAAACCAAGCCACCACCTACTGTCTAAACTTTTAAGAAGCTATTGTACTAGAAAGGCAAACATTGCTATGTCTTGCAAACTAAAGTGGTGTTACTACATTTTGTCAGGAGACAGCTGTAAACCATCTGCTTGGTGATTTGTGCAACTCACCATCTCTGTCATTCATAATCACAGCATTCTTGTGCTAACTACAGCAACTGCTTCCACAGCAAAGATTGTATTTGTGGCTGACTTTTTAAGAGCTTCAGTTACAGAGCCAACATCAAATGACCAGCAAGCTCTCTGCTGATTTCAATTTGAAAACCTCTGAAATAGTCATCTTCCCACATAATTCAGAAAAAGCTTTTTCATATATTCAATATTGTATTAGGTAATTAGCATTATATATGTATATCTATTATGTCTTTAAATACATTTTATAAATAAATTCCAACAGTGTGTTATAAAGTAAGTAATGCATAAAAGTTTCACAATTTAAATAAATATTTTTCACATTCCAATTCAGCTTCTTACAAGCTCATCTTTATTTCATGCCTTAGTTCTGAAGCAAAGTTTTTGCTTCAATACAAGAGGTAGATTTGATAGACTGGGCAAATCAAGCCTACTGCCAAAAATGCAACTGTCAGTAACTGTATTGCTGATATGCAGTTTGAGACTACGTGAAAAATTCAGAACCACTACCTAAAATCCTACCAAGTCTTAGCTTAACAGTTTTTGTTAAATCACATTTAATGCTTTACTTTAGACATGATTACTCACAGTTGTTTTCTGTACATATGAGATAATGAAAAACACAAATACAAAATAAAGAACAGTTGTATCTAACACAATATATAAAAGTGCATCAGCTGCTTCTTCATCTATTTCTGCAAAACATATTCAACTTTTCCTCTAACTTTGGCCATAAAGAAAAGACCTCTGGGGAAAAAAAAAAACCAAAACCTTACAAGTGTTTACATTTTATGCTTGTCTTCACTTCAAGAGCTTACAGCTGAAACCCTTCCATTGGAGCCTCCTGCTGTTGAAACACAAACTGCTGCTGACTTTCGTCCACCTGAGGTGCAATACTGGAGTCCTCTTCTTCGACACCAAAGTAATGTTCTATGAGTTCAAAAGCCTTTTGGTAGATCTCTTGGTTTTCATGCCTCTGAAGAAATTCAATTTTATCAAGTCCTAAATTCAAAACAAAACATTTTCAAAATCTAATTGCTTAAAAGAATGATTAATTCAAAGGAAAACAGCTTATAGTATGAAAACTTAGTAGTACTTCTTAGATAAAAAAAATGCAACCCCAAATCATTCTCTATTTATTCAATATCACTGATGCTTAATTTCTTAATTATTTATTTCCTAACCCATGTATTTCTAGTCTTCATTTTTTGCAGCATTTTCTACTGTCCAAACTAATTTTAAAAGAATATCAATTAAACTATGGAGGAGGCTGTAATATCTACTAATACATGCCTGCAAAGAAATTGCATGTGTGTAGAATCAGCATAGCATAAAACTTTGCTATAGCAATTTCCAATATTCCCATTTCTTTTTTTTTTTTTTTAACTCTTTCAGTCTTCCTTATCTCTAACTTCTATCCCTTATTATGGTGTCATTGCTAGGCACAGTCTGTTTTTGTTTTTTTTTTTCAAAT